ACTGTTTGATGGGACTAAAGATGTAAATTAGCTTTAGGCTAAATCTGGTGCAATGCATCAAATCATGTTTTAATTGCACACTGTCCCGAATAAATAAAATCATTCATTCATCTTGCTATCTGAATACTTCAAATATACTTTACATATTTCCCTGCATGTTTCCTATGCATTCAAGCTCTGCATTACCAAGCAAACCTCGAAGCCCAGAGGAAACATGTTTGGTATAAAGTTTGCAGGTTAGACAMTTGAGATAAAGTGAAGGTGTATGATAAAAAATAAAACAAAGATTATCAGCCGCAGTAGTTTGTCTTTGGTTACAATGGGTGGAGGGTGTCAAGGTAGGTAAGGGATAACAACAACCACACATCATTAAAATATTACTGTTAAATGTTTTTTTTAACTCTTCCACCCACCTTGGTGGCCAGTGAGTGTGACGCACCAGCCTCCAGCAGGACRGAGGCGGTCTCCACCTGCCCCTCTCTGGCAGAGATGTGGAGYGGGGTGTAGCCGTTGGTTGTAGCAGCATCAGGATGGGCCATGTGCTGCAGCAGCAGCTGCACAATCTCTGTTTTTCCCAGACGGGATGCAATGTGAAGGGGGGTCTGGTCCTCCTGAACAGGATGGAGGAGAAGCGTCAGGACAGTTCTCAGTACTTCTTTTCTTYTTTGAGTTGACTGATCAGTGACTGGAAGGGAATGTTAGGACAAATCGTACCCGTGCTCGTGCATCCACCATTGCTCCATTCCTCAGCAGACACCTGACCACCTCCACCTGTCCTGCCCTGGCTGCCATGTGTAACGCTGTTTCTCCACGCTGCACACATGACACACAGCCACAGGTCAACACTGAGCTGCACCAACATGTTTAAAACCACCGGTCACACTAAAAACAAACAACAACGATATTATTGGTTGCCATGTCGACTCTTCCTGTCCTCGCCACCGTCACTCACAATATTGCTGACATCAGGTGAGGCTCCGTTCTGCAGTAGCAACAGGACGATGTTCAGGTGACCCATGAAGGCCGCCACGTGGATGGGGGTTAGACCAGACTGGACACGAGAAGAGAAAACAAATGTTTGGTTACGGTTAAAAATGAAAGGACCAGAAGACTTGTGAGGTAAATGCAGACCATCCAATTTATTTTTATCCAACAACAAATGAATAATACTTTGATCATACAGAAGCCTATATATATATATATA